ATTTTGGTCCTGAAATAGTTTTTGTGCTGAAATCGTAAACCAACACTGCTGTTATCGTGCACTTAATTGTGTTTTTCAGTATGCAAATATGATATACAGCTCAACTTGATCAATATTATGATTTTATAATTGCATTGTAAAAAAATGTATTGTATTCAAGAAAGTAAAGGGTTTGAATTTTCATGACATAAACATTTTACCTTGCGACCACTTTTGGGGTCGGGACCCAGAGTTTAAGAAACAATGATTTAAAGTTGGACGAAACAACTACCATAACTTGGTGCTTGATTTTGAGGATTGGACACAGATCCCTCTTTTTTAGAACCCCCAAAATCTGCTAAAGAAGGTTTTTAAGCCCAAATGGGCTATTTACTCAGAAGGGCTATTAATTTCATTTTGGCATTTTTGTTGATTCACTTTTGAAATTGTTGAAAATAAAATGATCATGTGATCTCTGGCGATTGTGCATTTGCAATCGTCTGATATCTTTTGATATCTTTTTCCTAGTAGGCCTTGTGATAAATGTTTATGTAAACAAATATTTAGAATTCGGAATGTAACGGATATTTTTTGCTTACTAGGTTAGAATATTCTTTTCCTTAAATATATATATATATTCTGTGATATTGCTATTGAATTGAATTTTATGGTTTAAGCACAGAAAACATAATATTTAGTAAATAAAGGTAACACACAAAATGTTTTTTAAAAAAAACCCTTTGGGCGTAATATAAAATCTTAAAACTTTCAGATTTATTTTTATTTTTACTTATTTATTTATTTTTGTTTCTCCTTCATTTTAAACTATTAATTCTTGCAAAATTTGTAACACTCCTTTTGAGGTCTGATTTGACATAAAACAGCCAAATTAAGGTAGTATTACTACTTCATGTTTAAAGATATCAGTTTTGTATAATGAAACAGAAATAAATTTTCTGTGGCTGATATATGTGAAAAGAACAAATGATCAAGTCTCAGTTTTTCTTTTGATGCTAGTTCTGCTGAAATTATAAAGATGTATTAAATCGGTGTGAATTTTCTTGAAGCCTTCCACATGCACCAGTGCATCAACTTTAATTAATGATTTTAATTCCAATTCAATTTTTTCTGAAGCTTTTAAAAGCCAAATTTCATCAGTTTGATTCCTTTGATTTATGCTTTTCATGATAAATATCAAAATGATTTTCATTTCTTTACCATAGCTATCTGTTTCAATGATATATTTTCAACCAATATTTTTGCACTTTGGAGGAAAGGGTATGCTTTGCCTGTTTCTTTAAAAATGCACTATTTTTTTTTTATTTATTTATTTATTTTATTTTATTTTATTTTTTTTATTATTAAACCAGTGTCAAACTAAGATTGACTTTTAAATTTAAATCTGATATGGTGTAAAATTTTGTAAAAGAGCTTCCTTTACTATGATCAGTTTTTATTGCATTGTGTGAATCACACCATAAAGACCTGTTAATAAATATAAAATTTCTATACCGCTATCACAGTAAATTTGGTCTCAAGTATAAACTGAATAATTATTTTCAAAATTTCCTAAACAAAAGAAATAATCAGTAAAAGAATTGATGATAGATATACAAATCTGTAATAGTTCTTAGATCCAGTTAAACAGATTAGTCTGGTTTCTTGAAGTAGCCTTTCCAACAGCATTTTTAACATATTTATTGCATGTTAAAAAACTAATTAAAAAATGACTAACTGTGTTAAATTAGATAAAAATTGACAGAATACTTTCCTGTCCAATAAAATTGCAGCACTATAAAGGAAACGGTCCAAATAAAATTTGCAAAATAGATATATCATAAAAATGATTAGCAATATGGCACATATGCAAATAATGGGCGTCTGCAGCATCACCAAAATTCAGTGTAAAAGGAAAAAAAAGAAGATAAGTTTTCCTTCCAAGAATTTTGTTTTTTCCTGGTTTGCTTGGCTAAAAGTGTAGAGCTTGCCTCAAATAAGAGGACAAATACCGCAAAACTGCTGCCTGCATTAAGTGAAATTCAACCATTGTCTCGAGAATATGAAGCTGCTATGTCCAGGAGATATGAGCAGAAGGATATGAAAGTCACAACAACCTTGAAACACCAATATGCTAGAGGGCAGACATCTTATGCAAACAGCTCATATGTTTCATACAACCACATCATGCATCTTAGCACAGGCCTTAAAGTGATGAGACATCACTTTTATGGTCATCAAATGTTCCCACGGCAGCTGTTGCATAGCTTACCTTTGACAGTATAAGCATAGGATTTTGCAGCTACATTGCTACATTGAATGATTCACATGAATGAATGAACATCATGATGATCCTTCAGGCAAAATTTTAATGGATGAGAGTGCATATGGTACTATCATGAGGAGCATTTCTTGGAATCTTGCTGTTATGCATCATCATAGCAGCTAAGCATTGGTAGTTATGGTATGAGATGTGGTTGGATATGCACATCTGTGCTGTGAAGTTAGCATTACTTTACAGACATTTTAGGAGCACTCTAGAGTTACCTGCCAGTAAGACATTCAGTGACTGTAAGTCACACTCAACATTTAGCACTTCCTTAAAGCATAGCAGGCTACAGTTCCTTCTTGATTTGCTCATTCACTAGATCATTCCTATCGAACACTTCTTGTCTATCATGCTACAGATACTGGCATGACAAAAACCATGAGAGGTTACAGCAGATAAACTCTGCCAATAACTTTTAGCTACCTGGATCATAATATCAAAAATTATTGTTGCTTGTATATAATGGTTTCATCTTTGTATTGTGAGGAATTTGTAAAATAAAACTAGTTGTCCTATGATTTGGCCTTGTTGGTGTTACAGTTTATGGTAGCATTTTCTCTAGCATGTATGTTTGAAAAGTAGTCACTTTTGAGACTAATTTAACAAGATATTTTTCAAACACATGAGTGATCATAGACGCAAAGTTTCAGTTTTAAGCACAAATCATACTACAATGCTTTTGATTACATGGCAGCTTTTGGCAAAAAATATACAAATTTGACTTTTTATATCTAGGTCTCTTGGAAAGAAATGGGGGGGAAAATGTTTATCGTCATTGAATTAGTACGAACACACAAGGTAAGTTAGGGGATTAAAATTACCTTCAAAACCCATATATATTAGAGTTCGATGATCTGCTCCCGAACTGATTCAAATAACCATTTAACTTTACTAAGCAAATTTACTCCTCCAGAAAACGGAATTGTAGCTCTCTTAAAGTTCACAGACAGTTCTTTTTTGAAATATGCCTGGAATAGTGATCTGCTATCTTTCACAAATTGAGCCGTTTACTGAGCGAGCAAACGCTAAAGGAAGCTGGAAGTGTGTGAACTTCCCATTTTAGGGAAGAAAAGAATACTCATGCTCCCAGTGTTAAAAATTAAATTAATTTTTGTCACTTACCAGTTTTTTTGAAAAGTTTTTATTCTAGAATTTTTTTGTTAGGCTGTGTAGATTGGAGGTGTTAGGGAATCTGAAAACTACAGTTGAAAGAAATCAGTTCAGGGGGTTAGCATTTGATTCAGTTCTTCCAATCACTCTTCATTCAGTTCGTTTTGTTCTTCGCTCCAACCTTGCTAACTGGTCCTGATCCCACTGTTGGTTCGATTCTTTTCACTCTTTGCTCCATCCTTGCTAACCTTTCTATATTCTGGATCTTTCTCATCAAAGTTATTGCTAGTGAGTGGTGAGTCATGGAAAAAGAACCAATTCATTTTAGTGAGTGAGCAGTTCTGATCTGATCCCATAAATGAGCAGTTTGCCGTCTTTGATATATATAGTTTGCTAAACACAGCTATGAATGTAAACCTTAGAATGCAAATTTCTAAGATAATTTTTACATCAAAGAAGGATGCATGCATGTATTCAAATAGTAAATAATTATTTTTTAATTTAACGAAATTAAATTTTGTTTATGCCCTTTGAAATCAATGCTTAACATCTTTTCTTTTCACCAGATTAAAATAATTGAAGCCATTTAATTCTGATGATTTTTTTCAAAGGTAATTTTGTATATGGTACTAATTTTATATATTAGAGGTAATTGTTAACACAATTTCTAATAAGAATTTTCTTTGCGGAGAGCCCGTGTAAAAGCTAAAATTTTGTACGCTTCTACTAAAAGTGTTGTAGAGTCATTAGGATTTTTTTATGTGGGAAAAGTGAAAATAGGGCAATACCATCACCGAGACTCGAACCTGGAGCTCTCAAATACGTGCCGAGTGTACTAACCGTTACACCATGAAGGCATGCAGAAAGGTGGGAGAAAATATTACATTATTTTAAAGCAGGAGACTTGAAAAATGCACAGTGCCCTCGCCGAGAACCTGGACCTCTCAAATACACACCGAGTTTTCTACCATTACACCATAAGGGCATGCAGAAAGGAAGGAGAAAATACCTTATATACTCCTCAATTTAAAGGACGACTAGGGATTAAGAGACACAATCACCAAATTCTGCTGGTGAAAAATTATCCACCACCTTTTAGTTTGGGTGCCACTGTAGAGATATTAGGTTTTTTTTTTTTTTTTTTTTTTTGATGCAAAAGACATGAAAAATGAGCAATGTCTTCGCTGGTACTCAAACCTGGACCTTATGAATATGTGCTGAGTATCCTACCGTTACAACACAAAGGCATGCAGAAAGGAGGGAGAGAATACCTTATAGTGTTACTTGACCATAGTCTGAGACTATCATAGTCATAGACAACTATCATCATTTTACTGACTATCTGACATACTGACAACTGTCATCATAGACAACTATCAGAGTCTGAGAGTTTGTTTATCTTTCTTGATTCATTTCTTACACTGAGTTTAAGACCAATTATCTATGACATATTAGTCGTGTAGACTTTTCAATATACTCTGAATAAATCGCACATGTTCCATGGCGATAACATTATGAAAGGCAATTTTTTACCAGAAATTTCGCTACTGAATTTAAAATGTAATATTTAATGGAAAAAACTTACCGAACATCTTTGTTTGCTGATACGAGACTGGTAATGTAAAATTACGAAAGCTACTACTGCTAAGACTAAGAGCACACCAAAGCCTAAAGCTATTCCAACCATCAGACCTCTGTAACTTTGCTTTTGTTCCTTCTGTATTTGTACGATGACGTCATTGAATGAGTTTACAACTGATTCAAGACCTTGATAGAACCACCCAGAATCAAAATGTATTCTGCACTCTTTCAATATTTCCATAGCAGTTTGCTCAGAGAGAATTTTCCGTACAGCAGAACCCATGCTGAAATCTGACTATGAAAGAAAGATAAAAACAAATTAAAATGTAATGCGATATGAAGGTTAAAAATTAAAATTTTTAATATATTTATTTTTTCGCATCAGAAAATTTCGCGCATTTATTAAAATTGTTCGATCATGATGAAACTTGACTTGAGCTATGAGGAGACTAAGATGGATTACTACACTAACAAATCTTGAACCATAGCTTATTAATAAGATGCATAACCACATGTAGTAACAATACATGACAATACTGAGTTTGGTGTAAACTTCTAAAAATAACAAATATAATTCTGTAGAATTCACTGCCGAATGTATTATCGCTCAGTGATTTCATGCACGTTGCATGAGGCTGTTAACTGATGACCTAATCTGGGTTTAATTTTTAAAATTAAAAAAATCACAGGAAATGTTAACAAAAAAACATTTCAAAAAATAATAGATGAATAAGTTAAATTAATGACAAATTGTTAAATAAATTAAAATACCAAAAGTCATTCCATTTGGGTTTCAACTGGAATTAAAATTTCAATAAAATCCTTAGAAGTATTGGAACCAGATTTTATGGTTCTAATTGAACTTAAGCCCCTGCACCTAATATGTTCCAAACTGTGGAGGTCTGGCAGGACAGAACATCAGAGATGAACTTCTGCCCTGGATATTTCATAAGTGCACATTAATGTAGCCACTGAGGGAGGGGTTTCGAAAATGGACCAATGAGCTTCTATTGCTCTTGTGACACTAAATCTTCGTGCATGTGAACGTATGTTGTTTACGTTTTAATTTGCCGTTGTTTTGCAGCTATAAATGTATAGCGTAATAGTAGAAAATCTCGTAGTGCTTTCGTTTAATTAATCGCCGATATTTCACTTTCATGATTTTTATTACGCATTTATATTTGGATTGATGTTCACAGCATATTATCACTCTTTACATCGAGAAAATGACTCAAGCTAATTAGCCTCGAATATTATGCATTTACTAACACCTGTGGATTAAGAAAATTCAAGTGTATAGTTTTTTTTTATATATATATAATTGAGCTGAGAAGGACTGGAAGTGTTGCAATGAATCTAGTGTTTTCTTATTTCAGTGCTTGCATTCTTTTGATTTTTAAAGTGTAAGATTCAGAATACATGTTGTGTATAACCTGATTATATCCATTGTTAACATTAAAAGTTATATGTGAGTAAATTGAATATATTCGTTGTGAATAAGATAAATTCATTCTGTTTGATGAGTATTTCTTATGTAGACAGTACATTTAAGAGCAGTTATTAAATGGGAAATTAAACACTGTAAATGTATACATATTAGTTAAGTTCACATTGAATGAAATTCTGTATTGGCTATTATTATAGAACATCTTTTTCATATAGACTGCAATAAAAAGTGCAGACTTCTATTTACAAATTGGAGTAAATATTTTTCTCATATGCATAGTTTTATGCATGTAAAGATAGCATTTGGACTCAGATGTTATCATATATTTCTTTCTTCATCTCATTAAGTACACTTATGTCCATAAATTAAGGATAATGCAAAATCAGGCAAAGGAAGAGTTAGAAGCAAAACAAATTTGACTTATTTGTAAAGCTTATTTATTAAACAAAAGGTAAAGAGCAAAAAAAAAAAAAAAATTTTATATGTTTGATATTATTAAAAAAATTAGCAATTTTTTCTCCCTGAAGCAAATTACAAAAAAAAAAAAAAAAAAAAAAAAAAAAAAAACTATTTACAAAAAATCAATATTATATGGTTGGTATGATTGTTAAGACATTGTATGTCTCCCAGACGATGCAGTACAGTCCATACAACGCCTAAGCATGCTAAGTATCAAATTATAGATCTGATCTTGGGGGATATTACACCACTCAAAAAGCAATGCTCTCCGAAGTTTCGGTAGACATTTAGGAGGAGGTTGACGGGCTGCAACTCGTCGGCCAAGCATGTCCCACATGTGCTCTACTGGATTCAAGTCCGGTGAGAATGCTGGTCAGTCCATACGGGTGATATCCTCCGATTGAAGGCATTCGCTTACGATGTTTGCACGGTGAGGATGGGTGTTGTCATCCATAAACACAAATTATCACGGCCGCTGCCATATGCGGATTTCTGGCTGGTTTTGTTTACATTCTAATCGGTGTTGTCTAGATGTTAGCTACTCATCACTGAATGTTTATAAGTATCCCGTTCTAATTTTAACGCTTAACATACATGATTCTCTAATTAGTTTATAAAAAAATCACAAGAATTGCAAATAGCTGTTTCAAATTGAACAAAATCTAACTACATGAAAATATGTACTCGTATATGGTAATTATAAGACAAATATGTACATGGTAAAACCAAGAAGATCAGTGGAAAGTTCAATGGTATTTTAAGGAAATTGTGCGATAAGAACTCTTTTCTGAACCTGCGGACACTGATATTTGCTCTTAAATTCGGTGTAATTTTATTTAGCAATACATGTCGTAGTCTTATCCGTACGCCATATGGCGGCCACGATAAGTCGTGACGTCACGTTGTTGACATTTCCTTGGCTTCGTTCATGGACCTTATAAGAAATAGACTAACCCAAACGGGTTTTCTCCCTCGTCTGAGGCGCAGCCGGCTGTCACCTTCATACATCCGGAGGAGTAGGGACGACTTGCAGAAATTTAACATTGGTTGCCTATTGCAGCGTGTATAATTACCAAAAAAAAGCTAGTTGTAGCGCCTCATTTCACAAATTAGAATTTCTACATATTTTTATTTTTGAAATTGAGATTGATTTTTAAAAATTTAGCATATTTATCAAGCATAATTAACGTTCCAAATAATTATAAAGCTATTGCATGCTTTCAGAACTGGATATTATTTTAGTTTTTCCTATGCTCTAAGAAAATTTGTAACTACTTCTTTTAGAAAATAATATTTTTAATCTGAACTAATAGAAAATTTCAAACAAGCAATTTTCTCTTGCAATTTTTATGCTTTTTATTGGTGTAAATAAGTAAAAAATACTAAAATATTTAAAAATGAATTTTCAAAAGTTTTGTTTAAAATTCTAAATTGTGCTGCTTTTTTAAAATTATAGATGAGTATTATAGCATAATTTCTATAAAGGAATTTTATTTCAATTATATTTCATAATACATCATAGTGATAAAACACTTTTGACTCCTTAAAAAATTTCTATACATTTAATTTCTAATAATAAATTGTATTTAACCGTAATAATTAATTTTGCTTGTATTTTATAGTAATTATTTTTTTAAATTTATTTTTGTTCTACATAAGATATTTTTATTTACTGTTAATTTAATCTATTAGCCCAAAGCGGCGGTAGCCGAGAAAGGCTGTTAGTTTCGAAGCGGCATTTTGCGCTGTTTTACTTTAAATGTCTGTCTCCCCTTGCAAATTGTTGTTACCAAATATTATCGCCCTGCATTATATGTAAAGAAATTAAATAGTGAAGAATCTGCATGAATACATGTATGTTTCTCGCACTGTGACAAAAACGACAGTATCTACAGCCATCAAATTTTGAATAATGTAATCCTCCACCCGAACATGGGCATCTGGACGGCCGAATTTCGAATGTGTTTTAATCTATTTCATATTTTGTAAAATTTTAACGAATTTTTGATTAACAAACTCAATAGAGCGAGCACTGTACGGAAAATAACAGTTTTATCTCCAGTGCGGAAATTCTAAAGATATGCTGTTTTCAAATGTATGTGGTTTACGAGCGAAGAACATGATATTCAATAAATATAGGTAACACATAAAACTTTAAAAAAAGGTTCCTTTTGGGCGTAATATAAAATCTGAGTGCTTTTAGATTTTATTTTATCTTTTTTCTTTCCCTTCATTGCGCTCATAAAATGTTATGCTCCAAAATTTATGAATTATTAAAATAACTAATTCACTTTAATGTTAATAATTTAATGATCATATAATCAAATAAATATGATCGTTTCGTAATGTTATTATAGTTTGGAAAATCACTGCCTGAAAATGTTCATTAAATTAAAAAAGAAAAATTATCAGATCTTGTTTAATTTTACCTTATTTATTTCAAAGCATCACGTACTATCGATCTTATTTAATTTTACTTTATTTTTACGCAAAATTCAGTTCATAAATTTTGAGCTTAAAGTTTTTACCGTTTTACCAAAGTAAAGATGTTTGTACAAGAATTACGCGTGAAAAAAATGTGCGAAATGCAGTAAAAAGTGCTTTAATGATATATATTAAATCCTATTTGAAAAACACTATGGCTTTCATAATCTCATCACTATACAACGTATCACAATTAATAATTAAAAAGAGTTATGTGATAAAAACGCCGTTATAGTTTCAGTTCATGATATAGTTTCAGTGTTAATGTAAACCAGATCGTCCCTTCTCTTTCTTGCGGACATGTCGGTGACACGCGCCCCGCCCACTAGGTTAGTCTATCTCTTATAAGGTCCATGGCTTCATTTTTGTGATGTCACGCCTAATCCATCTATTCTAATCTCCTTGTTTAAAACAGTTATTTGCAATCCTTGTGATTTTTCTATGCACTAAGTAGAAAATAATTTTTGAAAGCTAACCTGTAGACAACAGCAATTAGAATGTAAACTAAACCAACCAAAAGTTCATTTATGACAGCGGGCCATAATAAGTCGTGACGTCATTCCATGACGTTTCATGGTTTCATTTTCAATGCATGAGGCATACGGAGGAGGCTTACTTCGTTTATCCTAACCTCCTTGAGTGATAAGAGCAAAAAAGTGAGGTGCATAAGGTGAGGAGTTAACAGAATCTCTGTTGCTAAAATTAGTAAAAGAACATTACAAGAAAACACAGAATTCGTAAAGCTACTGGTCAGGATAATATAAAATATCTGACTCTAAAAAATATGCCACTAAAAGTTTACGTGAATTAACATCAACAACAAACAATTTAATATTGCATTTAATAATTTTACATATTTTACAAAATGCGATATAACTGCACGTTGCTTAAGTCATTCTTACAACTGTAAAATTCACCAAAATCTTAAAACCAACCTTCATACATATATCAAAAGAAGCACTCAGTGACTTTTACAGCAGATGGTTCTTTAATTCTAAAATTCTTAGTGTAATTAAAAACTTTAAATTAAAAAAATAGTTACGTAAATGCATATAATTTATATGAAAGCTTTTACTTAAAACTGCCCTTAAACTTGACAGTAGTAAATCTTTAAGAAAACAATTACTTACAATGTTCTGATGCGTCAGTAAGACAATTAGAATGTCATCATCACATTTTCCTAGATTCCATCTCTTTCGCAACATTTCTGCAACAGCCCGCCCAGTCTGATAGCGCATCAGAGTCCTATGAAAATTTATAATCATTAAAGATTAGTAAACATACATCTATAGCCATATTATGTTCTGTAAATGGAGCTATGTACGCACAATAATGGTTCACATATATTTATTGTATAAGAAGGCCAGCTGATAATGAAAACTGAATTGCAGCTACGCGCAACAATACTCGTAATAACAGTGGCGCATGGAGGGAGTTTGATCGATGCCGTCGTCTTGCATAAAGGTAGCAGTACCTTTTCTAATGTGCTGCTGTTCAGAAGACCCAAAAGTGCTCGGAAACTTTAATTTATACTATTAAGAATGTAACCTTCATTAAGATGCCGGATGCCTATATGAAAATTTAAGTGAATCGTCGCTCGCCGACTTGAATAAAGGTACAGGCATCTTATTTGCTATTTGACTGCTATCAGTCAAAACACAGTGGGTGCCAGCATCGTTATGAAGTTCAGTTACCGTTATGAAGTGCATCGTTATGAAGTATACCATGAAGAATGTAACTGTCATCAAAATGCCGGACGCCTCAGTGAAGATGTAAATGAATCGTTGCCAACTTGAATAAAGGTACCGACAAATTGTTTGCTAATTGACCGCTGAGAGCGAAAACAGAAATCGAGTTTATGCCAAGAAGAATGTAACTGTTGCATCAGGTTCTTCTATTTACAATAAAATTAATGTAAAATTCCTTACCTGCTGCATCTTCAGTGTTCTCGACGCCAGGCTTCTAATAATCACGTTTTACAGTAAGAGTTTCTATTACAATTAGCAGGCCATCTTGTCTTTTAATTATTTATTGGAATAAAAAGCTAATATACACTATTTACAAGGTAGGTGATAATTATTTTAAAACAGTACATTTTTAGTTCTGAGTCTTTACGCTCCTCAGAGCGGTTCCAATCTCGACTGCTTCTCGGAACTTAATTACAGCAAAAGTAAAGGAAGAGATGCCCGCCACCTAGTGGCAAGAATGTGACATCCTCCCACCTTTTGATTTTACCTCGATAAAATGGGAAAATCAAAACAAAATTTATCAATAATCAAACAAAAATTCAAGTACAACTTTCACAAATATGAAAAGTAACTAATGCTCTAAAATTAATACTTACAAAGAAGGATTACACATCTAAACATTTTCTGCATTACATTCATACCATATCCAGATAACATGTTCCAATTGACTAACTGTTAGGACAATTAAATTTCTAAAATACTGAAAAGAAACAAAAATTAGTATAGCAATTTAAAATATGTAACAGGGTTTTACAGTTTTACGTCCATATCTAGTTTGATAGTTCATATCACTGTCACACTTATCGGCAGAGTTTTTTCTGTTCATGGTGAAGTCACTAAACAAGTTAGGTCTATCAAGTTCGAGAGGATAAATACGTTTCACAGGTCTTAGGAGTTCACCCGTTGCAGTTTTCACTTTGACAACACGTACTTCGTTGTCTTTCCCAGGATATAGTTCTACAACACGACCTATTGGCCAATCTATTCTCTTCTTGTTGTCGCTGCCGACAAACACCAAGTCATTTTTGTTGATAGTCCGAGTAGATCGTTTAGATGGTTTTTGCACTAGGATAGCTAAATATTCATCACGAAATCTTTTGCGAAAATGTTCTCTTAAGTTCTGCAAGAACTTGTATCTTTTTGTCAGATTGATGGTATCCAGGTAGTCTAAGTCTGGTACTCCGACGTCGTGCACATCTTGTAGAAACATTGAAGGAGTTAGTGCCGTGTAAGATCATTTGGATCTTCTGAAAGGTACGTAAGGGGTCTTGAGTTGAATCACTGATTCGATATCACAAAGTATAGTCAACATTTCCTCATAAGAGACACAGGACTTGCCGAGAACATTTCTCAACATCTTCTTCACTGTTTGTACCAACCTCTCCCACCAACCGCCCCACCATGAAGCAGTTGGGGGATTAAACTTCCACTGTATTCTCATACTAGTTGAATGACATTCTATTTCTTTCCAATCTATCGATCTTAACAGATTTTCAGTTCCAACGAAATTAGTGCCATTGTCGCTGTAAATAATACTTGGACGACCTCTTCTGGCAATAAATCTCCTTAATCCCAAGATGAACGCATTTGTTGATAAACTTTCTATCAGTTCAAGATGTATCGCGCGATAGACCGCGCAAGTAAAGAGCAAGATCCATGCCTTTTTTCCTTTTCGTTAAATAAAGAGGACCGGCTACATCGACTCCGGTCACTTCAAACACCAGAGCATCTCTAACTCGATCTTCAGGAAGAGGTGCTGGAACAGTCTCTATATTCTTTGCGCTATATCTTCTACAGCGAACACACTTCATAAGAACTTTACGTACTGTTTTTCTTCCTCTCAGGACCCAGAATTTCTGTCGAATATTGGCTAGTACGAATTGCACACCAGCGTGGGATAGTCGCAAATGGTAATCTAAAATTAACCTATGAACTAAGTCATGATTTGAGGGCAATACAATTGGACAGAGAAAATTTTCTTCTTCCTCTCTTCTAGTAATCTTGGTCTTTAACCGAATAAGGCCATCTGAGTCAAAAAAGGTACAAAGGTTGCTAACTTTAAGTTCTTTGCCAAATGCTTCTATCTGTATTATCTTGCATATTTTCTTTTCTACAGTTTCTATTTCAGGGACCGTGAGTTCTCCTGATTGTTTAGAATCTGGTCTTCTGCAGTTGTTGATAAATCTGCATATCCAAGCAGTTATTCTTAACATTTTATGGTAAGATGAATATTTCTCAAAAAAATGTTCTACCCTTTGCGTATTTAGTGCAGAAATGACTGATTTCCTTTTTTCTGAATTCACTATTTCCATGTCCGGTATTTCCCTTTGTCTAGGCCATTCTTCCTGATTTTTCTTCAGCCAGTCGGGGCCCTCCCACCATCTAACTACTAAAAGTTGTTTAGCGGTGCAACCTCTTGATGGGAGGTCAGCTGGATTTTTTGTTCCAGCAATATGTTTCCACGTTTTTGGATCCGTCAGTTTCCTAATCTCCCCTGACTCTGTTTTCCACAAAGACAGCCCAGACAATCTCTTCCCTTTGAATCCATGTCAAAACTGTTGTAGAATCCGTCCAAAAATGCGTTTCCACATTTTGCCATTGTAAACCATTTAAAACAGAAGAGCATAGTCTGGCACCTATCGTGGCAGCTATCAATTCCAGACGAGGGATCGTAATAGATTTTACGGGAGCTACCCTAGACTTCGATGCCAACAGATGAACTTCAACTCCAGAATTCGTCACAGTTCTCAAGAAAACTGCAGCAGCATACGCATTACTACTGGCATCACAGAATGTGTGAATGCTGCAGAACTTCCTATTGTCCTTGCTGGAATGTATCCAACGTAGGAGGGATATTTCTTTTAAGAGAAAAAGGCTTTTATACCAATTCACAAAATTTTGTTTTGTACTCTCGTCGACTTCAGTATCCCAAGAAATTCCTGTTTTCCATAGGTTCTGCAACAATACTTTTAGGATACAAGAGAACAGGACTCACAATACCAATAGGATCAAATATTTTGTGTGTTACAGCGAGAATTGTTCTCTTCGTTATTATACCCATTTCAAAATCTTCTAGCCAATTCAGATTCAAAGTTAAATTATCTTTCTGAGAGTTCCATAACAGACCCAATACGGGTGAAATAGTTTCCTGTTTCAAGTTATCTCCGTTATGTAACCAACCTCGAAGATTAAACTTTCCTTCATACATTATTTCTCGAGATTTTTCGATGAACTGGATCATCTCGGATTCTTTGTCAAAACTGGCAACAACGTTATCTACGTAGAAGCTACGCAAGAGTTTAGCTACCATCTCCGTATCATATGAAGAATTTTTCATGTACTTTTGTAGATGGAATTCTATAACAGCTGCCAAAAGGAAAGGACTACTCTTAACCCCAAATACTACCCTAGTATGACGAAATATTTTCGTTTTCCTTTCTTCCACATCATTCCACCAGAAAAACCGAAGCCAGTCTCTATCTTGAGGCCTTACACTGATCTGTAAGAAAGCCTTTTCAATGTCTGCTATAGCAGCAAACTTGCCTTCCCGAAATCTCAACAAAAGAGATGGAATTAGTTCTATCAAATTTGGTCCACACTCCAAACACTGATTTAGAGAAGGAGACGATTGTTTCCTCGCAGACGCATCAAACACCGGTCGAATTGGTGTTGAGCTATTTTCTTTGATCACCGGTCTATGCGGTAAATAATGTCCATAGTCAACCGCAATATTTTCTTTAACTTCTTCGATCACTCCTAAGTTACACCAGTCATTAAAAACTGCATTGTATGAAGAAAATAAATTTTGAGATAAAAGTTTCTGGTTGGGGTAGATTGTAGACGTTTCAACGCTAAATCCTTGTGGGTGGAGAGTGGTACATGATTCTCCGCCCACGGAAGTGCGACTTCATAACGCCCTTCTTCGTTTAGAGATACAGAATTTTCGAATTGCAATTTTGCTTGCAAATCCCTTTCCTCTCTAGCCTTTTTTGTAACTGGATCTGTTATTCCGATAACATCAAGCCTCCACAGTTCTGACAGCGTGGCATCAGAAATATGTAAAGATAACGAAAGCGTGGAAAAGGAATTTTCTATTTCGTAATTGTCAGTGTTCGCTTTCCCCATGACTGTCCACCCAAGTCTTGTGCTTACAGCAACTAATCTTCCCCAAGGAAGAACTTCGATTTTACCTGTAAATAAATTTGCAGCAACATCTGCCCCTAACAACAAATGAATCTCTTGGGGGTTCTCCTGAATAATATCTGCAATTTTCAAAAACATCACTGACGTAAATTCCTCTTCTTCTAAGTTCCCTAATCCAGTGTATATTTTTGATTTTAGGGATCGAAGAACATATTTTTCTTTCATCCAATACATTGATTTCGCAATTATACCGTTTTATCTACGCTACCCAATTTTATTCTATAACGTTTATGTTTTTCCGAAACTTCTATGCCACCGAAAAGTCCGTGGGTTACACTTTGTTCACCTAAGCTT